TCTAACAACAAGTTTAATTGAAAACACTTAGAAATGAAAAAAAACATATGAGCCCTGGTTGAAGAGATTGGTGTTTTGAGATGTAATTGCAAAACAATTGTATCAATGATCTTGTGACAGTGGACAAGTTGTTTAAACTTCACACACATACATTGCAATGATTAAAAAAAAACACTTGATGGCATTAGAGGTTTACAAACCTCAAAGCAACATGCTGACAGAATTTTAACACATCAACAAAATAAAAAAAGTTTGTGCACAGCAAGTGTAAGAGGCAGCCAACAATCAATCTTTTCAAAAGTAAGTAAAGAAAACCGAGTGTTATTCACCAAGCCAGAGACATTTGGAACTAGGTTCTATCATGAATTCAGCAGACACAAATGACATCGAGCTAAATTGGCTCAGAAAAGCAAGCAGGTCATGATCCTACTCTACATCAAATATCAGCCACAACAGAAAAGATGGGAAGCCACATGGTCTAAACCTCAACAAAAATCTAACAGCAGTCCTCTTGAAGCAACAGTCGATTCTTGGAGAAAGCTTCAGAGAAAAAATTAACACTCTTCTTCTGATTTTTTATCAAGTGGTGGCTGCCCCCTAGGGTTTTCAAATTTAAGCTTTTATACTCCAGTCCAAAAACCAATCAGCTGTTGAACTTGTCCCCTTGGCCTTTTTGTTGGAGTGGAAAATAGGTTTTGATTAGGGGCTGCAGAGGTCAGAGCAGATGGCTGCTTGTCCCTTGCCTTGTCTGGTAAAGAAATTCAAAAACAAGCAAGCAAGTACATCACATGTTGGTCTTGATATGGCAACGCTTGGTGGGGAAGCAAAACCAATTTTGTAGTATGGAAATGCCTCATTGTACCAACACACTGCATACTGATGCCTTGGCTAAATCCAAAACAAGTTCCATAAAAAAATGTAACCTTGCTTCCTTTTACGTTTTCACTTGCATCTTAAATCACACACATACATTGGGAAAACCAACGATACCACCTCAATCCTTGTTAAAAATCATACAGAATAGGCTTTGAGTTTGCTAAAAATGGTGGAGTTTTGCTCAATTTCCAATCCTTCACGTATGGCCAATGTTATGTGTTTAATCTTGCCCACTTACTTGAAAAGAACAAGGTACTTGTAAATATTGGGGTGGCCAAATACATGGATGTATCGCCACCCCAGTGGTTGAAGCAAGCGCGCTAAATGTACCTATCACTTTCATGACCATGGTTCGATCCTTGGTGGAGACCAAACCCCTTTTTTTTTTTCCAGCGCTTTTCATCCTTTAAATATATATTTCTCCTTCCATTGTTTATCACATGTGCATGAATGGATGAGATGGTGAAGCAATGTGTTTGTAATCCAAAGGTTGTGAGTTCAAATCTCTCCTTGTGCATTTTATTTCATCATTTTTTTAGTTGGATTTTTATGCCCCTGAGAACTACATATGCTTGTCTGCCTATTTCTAAGGACTTTGACTTGTATCTGATGACTTGAACACAAACTCTTGATCAGGTCTATAAATCCTTGGCAAATTCTTTTTGTTTAGACACACATTTCTTGATCCTTTGTAAATGCAAAAAATGCTATGCAATGTAATATGCAATGTAATATGCTAATGCAATGAAATGAAACATAAGCCAAAGAGGTTGGTCAAATTTTGGGGTACAACACTATCGTCAACCTTCTGAAACCGACATCACTTCTGCATATAGCCCTGATACATCTTTTGACCCTACCCCATCCATCTATAGCCTAGATAACTCTTTTGACCCCACACCAGACAATCAATCTTCCTACCAACAAATGCTTCAAAATTTATCTGATACGCCGGGGCCATCTCAACCAATACCTCTTCCACAGATAAACACGCAAAGACCAGATACACCTTAACAACCTCGTGGTAGACCTCGACGCCGCGCGAATCCTTCCCAATGTGGTACCGATGGTCGTTTAAATAAAGCCGGCCATTGATTTTCTTTTTTTCATCTGTTGTACAATATTAAAACTTTTTTATATTATAAATATTATAATTTATTATTTCTTTTATTTATATATTTTTTTATAAAATATTAAAAATAACAAATTTTATTATTATTTTAATTATACGTGACAAAAACTAAATATTAAATATTAAATAATAACTAAAGGTGATAAAATATAACAAAAATTAAATATTAAAAAAAAACTAAAAAGAAAATCATCTTACAACTGATGCGCCATCTCATATGACGACTCAGTGTAGGGTAGGGCAATCCAAAAACAACCACGCGTCATATGAAATGGCAAATCAGGTCTAGAGACCTTGATTAGCCATTTTATATGACGACTCCTCCACAAACTTAGTTAATTTGATAAGTTTTTTAATATATTAGTTTATTTGATAATTATTTTAAAAGAACATGTTATATTAAAAAAAAATTCTCTAGTTTGCCGTACATATGTGCTCGCCTGACATTCCTTTCAGGGAATTATGATATTCTCCCATCCTTAGTGAACTTTACATTGCTTTTTATGGAGCATCTTCTTTTAGGCTTGATAAATTTAACCGAGTCCATGGCCCAATACAATTATATCAATATACTTCTCATTAAATATCTTTTGAAAATGTTTGATTTTTTTTAAGTGAAAAGCTATGTAAAATGATTTCTATTTTGATATTTAAAAAATTGTCCATCATTTCATTAATGATTTAAAAATAATAATTTGTCTTTAATTAGTGAAAAGTTATTAATATATGTGTTTGATTTGTTAAAAAATAATGGGGTGGACAACGCAACTTACTTGTCTTACATTTGATTTAAAAAATATTTACGGGATTGAACAAAAATCATGATCAAGGATTGGATCACAATTGAAATTTTTGTTCCTCACTAAATTATTTAAACATTTTTTATTATCATTAGTACAAATTATTATTTTGTTACACATGTTTTTGAAAATATTATGTAAAGTTAAAACAGTAATGTATAGTTTTTTCAGAACAATAATAAACCGAATAATAAATTTGATTAAAATTGAATTATATAGTTTTTACAAATCCTAGTTTAAATTTAGAGCAAGTAATGGAGAAAAATTGAAAGAAAATTTGGATAGAAATAGATTGTTCCTTTGTGGAAGCTTTTCTAAATTCTAGATTGTTCCTTTGTGGAAGCTTTTCAGAACAAGTTATATTTAAGCTCAATATAAAAACTAAATCTTAAATATTTATTAAAAAATTAATTTAGAACCTTCCTCGTACCGTCCAACGTTGACCGACCAACAAACTTATTCTTAAAAACTGTGTATTCAGAATCATTGAAAAATGAAAAGTGCTTTAAATAACTAACATTTACTATCATAATTTTTTTAATAACTTTTAATTGTTGTATATTGAACTTGCCATTGCGTTTACTCAAGTCAATTTTAAAAAATATTTTTATAAATTTTTATCTTATTCTTTCTGTGATCCATTATATAATATGACAGAACCAAACAGTGTTATAGATATACTGAACAGAGAGTTAGACAGAGATTCTGAATTCTAAAAAAATGGAGAAAGCAATTGAAAGACAAAGAGTTCTTCTTGAACATCTAAACCCAAATCCTTCAAATTCTGTTTTCTCATCCTCTCATACTCATCAATCTACTGATATTTCTGTAATTTTACATGTTCTTAGCTTTTAGAATTTCATGTAGTTATATGTTGTGGTGTATCTTTTGATCATAGGTGTTTTGTTTTTCTTTTTCAGGCTTCATTCTGTTCTGCTGGAGAAACAGGTGGATCTGAAAACGACGTGGTGATTGTAGCGTAAGTTTTTTGATTATATAGTAATATAAATGTGATTGATCATATGTAGGGCGTGTCTGGTGTTTGATATGTGTCTGTGTCTCAGGAACGTGAAAGAGACAAAATATAGTTAGAGTTGATTGATTTTTTTCAAATTAGTACCGGTGTTGATGTATCTGTTGTATGTTGTATGTGTTTGTTGATGAAATATAGTTAGATTTAGTTAATTTCTTTCGGTTTTGTTAAGGTTATTAATAGACTTTTGACGTTAATTTTACTGCGATAATGACCAGTGCTTATCGTACTGCTATTTGCAAAGCGAAGCGTGGGGGGTTTAAAGATACTCTTCCGGATGATCTACTTGCCCCGGTTCTCAAGGTAATGTCTTTGATTAATCAATTTGTATGGAGTATAAGTGTATATATTCGTCAATTTCTACCATTGATTGACCTCTTATATTACTAACTGAAATGAGTGAGAAGTCGGCGAGCATGCTGTTGAAAACGTATACTCAATCTTGTGTTTTTGTGTGCTTTTATTGAACAAACTTTGCGATTAGTTTTTGTGTGTGTTTATTCATGAGTTTTCTGTAGGCTGTGATAGAGAAAACAAATGTGGAACCTAGTGAAGTCGGAGACATAGTTGTTGGCACAGTTTTAGGACCAGGTTCCGAAAGAGCAATTGCGTGCAGAATGGCAGCGTTTTACGCTGGTTTCCCAGGTAAATTCTCCATGCTTTATTCAATCATTCATCGATCAATGACATCAAGTACATGATTATATATGAACTCGTTGAATGAAAATCACTAAACGTAGAGTTCACGTAGGTGATTTCGTTTTTGTGTTCTAACAATTTCTCCAATGTGATTGTCTCTTAATTTCAACCAGAGACTGTGCCACTTCGAACTGTCAATAGACAATGTTCGTCCGGACTTCAAGCAGTTGCTGATGTTGCTGCTTACATAAAAGCCGGGTTCTATGACATTGGTAAGAAACTAAGAATGATTCTAGACTCGGTTTAAAAACTAAAGTCCTTGAAATAATTTGGCTTAGTTTTCTTCCTCTTATTTGATGAAGGGATTGGAGCTGGAGTGGAGTGTATGTCACAGGATAATATTTCAAGGATCGTCAAAACTAGCTCAAAGGTACATCGAAGTCGCACTATGAATAACTTATTCAGAATATCTTATGAAAACAGGTTACTACTTATCTTGACGTTTGCTTTGTCTTAACAGGCGGAAAATTTTGCACAAGCCCGGGACTGTCTTCTTCCGATGGGACTCACTTCTGAGAATGTCGTGCAACGTTACGGTGTGACAAGGCAGGAGCAAGACCAGGCCGCTGTTAGTATGAAATATGTTTTTGATATATACTATAAGAATTTTAAGTAAAGATTATTCATGTGAATTAACTCTTTTAATCATGTGTAATTAGGTCGAGTCTCATAGGCGCGCCTCAGCTGCAACAGCTTCTGGTAAATTCAAAGAAGAAATCATTCCGGTTTCTACAAAGGTAAGTTGCAACTGCTAAAAAAAAGTTTCCTTTTAGCATTTGTGATGCGATTATTTATACTTATGATTTTGTTTATGAAGATCATGGATCCTAAAACTGGAGAGGAGAAGGAAATTATTGTTTCTGTTGATGATGGTATCCGCCCAAACGCCAATTTGGCTGATCTCGCAAAGCTTAAGCCCGCATTCAAAAAAGACGGAACCACAACTGCAGGGAATGCTAGCCAAGTTAGTGACGGTGCGGCAGCCGTGCTCCTCATGAAGAGAAGCGTCGCTGTGCAAAAGGGGCTTCCTATTCTTGGAATCTTCAGGTACACAATAACTATACATATTCAATATACAGATAGTGTCTGTTTGTTCGCTTTTTTTTAGTCTCTCGTTTTTCATTCTGTATTTTTGCTTCGATTATGTAAATATAGGCCTCATTTAAAAACATCGAATTCAATCTTGCAGGAGTTTTTCTGCTGTTGGTGTAGATCCGGCTGTCATGGGAGTTGGTCCAGCTTTTGCTATTCCTGCTGCAGTGAAATCCGCTGGTCTCGAACTTGGTAACATTGATTTGTTCGAAATCAATGAGGTAAAGTTTTAGCAGTTTTCATGATAAAAACCAGTAGCATTAACTTTCTGTTGCACATTTTCTAAGCATTTAGCAATTTGATCGTCTTTTGTAGGCATTTGCATCACAGTTTGTTTATTCGAGCAAGAAATTAGGACTTGATCCAACAAAAGTCAATGTCAACGGCGGTGCCATTGCTCTCGGACATCCTTTAGGCGCCACAGGTAAAGTTGAGATACTCAAGAAGACGTTATAGAAGGTTTATATTAAAAATGCACCAAGAAATCTTAAACTCGCGACAGTTGAACAGATTGATTTACTGATCTTTCTGATGCGCATGCGCTTACAACTGGTGAATTTTTCTGCTTCCTTTTATATCAGGTGCGCGCTGCGTAGCAACTTTGTTGAATGAGATGAAGCGTCGCGGGAAGGATTGTCGCTATGGGGTGATCTCAATGTGCATAGGTGAAATTTTTTTTTTAAAACTTTTCGATAAATCACATTTTAGAAAATAGATTATAAAAAAATACTTGTAACTCAAGTAAAAGTTGCATTATTGAATTGCGCAATATTTCAGGTTCTGGTATGGGAGCTGCTGCAGTGTTTGAAAGAGGAGACTTTTGAGAATTTATAGAAAGCTTAGAATGGTTAGAAAAATTCTCAATCATTTGTCACAAGTATATGCTTCATCTATGCATCGTTTGAAGTTGTGCAAATGAAATAAGGAAAATAGAAAATTAAAATAAAAGATAGAGTGGAACATCAATTCATCATAATTCACTTTTATCTAGATGAAGTGATTAAGTTGCTCCATTTGTTGCTTTTTATGTGTCCTTTGAGGTTTTTGTACACTGATCAAAGAAATCAATAAGTCTTGTTTTGGATTAAATTATTGTCTTGTTTGGTAATAAACTATTTTTATTTGTCTTTGTTTTTTTTTAATGAAACTGTTCGTTATCTCACTGCATCTACTTTTCTCGACCTAAATATTTAGGTTAAAAACCAAAAATATATATTTCATTTAATTTTAAAAACTTACAAATAAGCAGTTATTTACCTTGACGATTATGAAACTTTTATGAAGTTTTCTGCCATGACGATCACATCTTAATAGTTAAGAAGATAGACCTTTTATTTAATACTAAAAAATATGTAATAAGTCCGAACATTAATATTTGAATTCGTCTCTAATGACTTGACGTGGTCAACATATTAGTTGTATTTTTTGAAGTATAAACAATTTCAAGTAATGTTTGTCTAGATACAAAATACTCTATGATCTTATAAAACCTCACGTCAATATGCTTGATCTTAATCTTGATATGATACACTTGATTGATTGTCAAATAAATGACACTCTAACTATCATAATTCAATTGAACTCCACCTTTTTTAACACCTAATTCTCATCTAATTCTTTCACTAATCTTGAAAGTCATAAGATTTCTTTGGCAGCTTCATATTTTGCCATGTACTCTGCTAGGAGTGTAATCGGTTCAGTTTGGACTGATTTTTGGTCAAAATAATGTCCAAACTAAACTAATCGGTTTTTAGTCCAAATAATGTCAAAACCAGCTTCTTTAGTGTTTTTCAAAAATAGGACCAAACCAAACTATTCGATTTGGTTCAGCTCGATCGATCGGTTTACAACGTTTTTTTCAACTTTATATTTATTCGTGTATTCTCTGTTATCATGTTTTTTTGTGTGTGTATTTTTTGCTTTTAATTTTTCAAATAATGAATTTCAGATGATATAGTTCATTTATTGCATTCTTTAGTTTTCAAACAAGTCGTACTTAATCCTTACGAGGCAACAAGTAAAACATAACAATAACAACAAAATGTTACAATACTTAAAAATTAACATGTTTCACACCTGATACACATATCAAAACTATTTTGTAATAAGACTATAAGGAAGTTCATTGAAGAAGAAGAAGAAAAAGAAGAAAAGAAAAAAGAAGGGATGGAAACTTACTAATAAAAATTTAAAACGCCATGAAAGTGACCAGAACAAAGCAGAATGACGGTGGCGAGAACAATAGTGGCGGCGGCCGTCGAGAGCAACGGTTCGATAAGAACAAATTTTTGTGACTTAGGGTTTCTACTTTTTTATGTATGGAGTTTGATTGTTGGTTGTGTATTTTGGTGAAAGGAAGGAAGCGTAAAGTTTTTCCTGCAAACCTACTGTTTTCGAACTCCTTTCCATGATCACTTCTGATTCTAACCATCTCACACTCCTTCTCTCTTTGAAGCTTTTGACACAACTCTTTGAACACTTCAAACACATCTGACTCCTCCTTAATAAAATTCACCCAGGTGAATCTTGAGAAGTCATTAACAACAACATAAGCTTACCTCTTTTCACCTAAACTTTCAACCTGCATAGGTCCCATTAAGTCTATATGAAGTAGCTTCAAAATTCTAGAAGTGGTCTGATGTTGAAGCTTCTTGTGAGACATCATTGTCTGCTTTCCAATCTGGAATTCACCATAGATCCTTTCTTCATCAATCTTCAGATTAGGAATTCCCCGGACTGCCTCTTTAGATAAGACTTCTGTCATCCCTTTCAAGTGCAGATGACCAAGTCTCTGGTGTCATATTCTTGCTTCTTCTTCCTTTGACAACAAACAGATAAAAGAGCACTTGGTTTCAAGAGAGGTCCCACTATGCCAAAAAAGACCTTTAGCAGCGCTTAAAAGCGCTGCCTAAAGTGGTGCTGCTAAAGGTAAAGGCAACGTTTTTTAATATGGAAAAAGCGCTGCTATAGGCCCCCTTTACCAGCACTTTTAGCAGCGCTTTTTGCCCCCTTTAGCAGCGCTTTTAAAAGCGCTGCCTATTCCCTCCTCCCCTCCCCCCTTTAGCAGCGCTTTTAGAAAGCGATTTCATAGACCCCCCTGTTGCGGTGAAATTTGGATGTCAAGCTATTGATTAACTTGAATCTTAATTCATTTACAACCGGTCTTTGATTTATCCGAAGGAAAGGTTAAAGAAAGGAAAAACCTAAAAGGGAAAGATCTAAGGTTCGGGGGTTGGTTAAATTTAGGGAAGGTATTAGCACCCTAAACTTCTGTAGTACTCTACAGGAACCTTTTGTTTATTTTTTTTATTTATTTCATTAATTATTTTGCTTTAGGGTATATACAAAGGATTGAAAATTAAAAAAGACCTAGGGGTTAATTCTAAGTTTACTCGGCAAGACATCGCATCTTGTGCCTACATATCCTTACGGGAATGGAATCAGAGTAACTGTAGTTCCCCTCAAAACGGAGGTTAGAAACGTCTTGACTGTGGCCAAGGTTTGTTCAAAGACTCCAATCTCTATATTAAAAAAATGTTAATTAAAATTAAAATAGGGTTAAATTAGGGATTCCACGGCGGAAAACCTTAAAACAGAGTACGACGACTCTTTTGGCCTAACACTAGGATAAAAGCAATTTTGCCCACGGCGAGACACTTAGGCTAAACAGGATTTGATCCATTAAAGGGGTAAGGCTATTGACTCGGCGGCCAAAAGGCTGGACCTAATCCTTCGGAAGGATAAAACTGTAAAAAAATGTGAAAATATGACAAATCATTATATGGAGGAATAATTAAGGTACAAAAATAAGAAAAGTAATAAAGACAGAGGGTATAAAGAAACAAAGAAACATTTCTGAAAACATGAAGAATATGAAAATATGTAATGACACTTAGAATGAAGTGAGGGAGGAAAATAGTGTGGGGCTGTGGCCACCACAAGCACATCTCAACCTCGAGCATGCACATGAAATGCCAAAAGAAAGAAAAGTAATAAAAGGGTACATAAAATGACACGACAAACATCAAACATCAGGAGTTCCTTACGAAAAGGTTTTAATTTTTTAATATTTTAATTATAAAAAAAAGGTTTTAATTTTTTAATAAAAAATATTTAAGTTAAAATTATAAAAAAAATTAAGTTTAAATTATAAAAAAAAAGTTTTTGGGGGAAAAGTCTTTTCAGTTTTTTTTAGAACAAAAAAGGCTTTTCATCCCAAAAAAAGGCTTTTCAGTTTTTTGGGAAAAGGCTTTTCAGTTTTTTGGGAAAATGTTTTTGGGAACAAAAAGGTTTTTTTTCTTCGGAACAAAAAGGCTTTTCAGTTTTTAAAAAATGTCTTACTAAAAAAAAGGTTTTAATAATAAAAAAAAAAAAAAGGGTTTTGATTTTAAAAAAAGGTTTTGTTAAAAAAGGGTTTTGATATTAAAATCTACGAACCTAAATACACATGGAGATTAACATGGCAAAATATGCACATAAATATGAAAAAGCAAAAGGTTTAGTAATTTAACGGACCTAAACACATTAACATGGCAAAATATGCACATAAACATGAAAAGACAAAAGGTTTAGTAATTTAACCTACGAAGCGGAGGTTTGCTTCGGTAAATGTGAAAAAGGTTTGAATAAGGGAACACTGGAGAGCTCCAATCCTTCTGACGAGTTGTGGGAACGACCGCCTTTCTTCTCTGGGGATCTCCTTTGTTTCTCCCTTTCTCTCTCCTCTTTTCTGAAGAAAACCTTCTGACCCCCTTTTCAACAAGGCAACACATGTATATATAGGGAACAAATTAGGGTTAACACCAAATTGTCAATAATGTCCCTAAAGCCCATTTTAAAGCCCAAACTAAATAATTAGTTAAGAAAAAATAAAATTTAAATAATTTAAAATAATTAAAATAAACTTAAAATAAAAACTAATAATCCTATTGATTCCTAAAATAAAAAATATTATAAAAAGAACAAAATTTTTTCTAATATTTTTTATTTTATGATTTTTTGGATATTTTTATGAATAATTTAGAAAAAAGTGAAAAAAAAATAATATTTTAAAAAATGATTTAATTAAAATACGAAAATAATAATTAAATAATAATAAAAAACTATTTTTGTTATTTTTTAATGAAAGATAGAAACATTTAGAGTAAAAATAATAAAAAACAAAAAGTGACTAAGGTGAGATTCGAACTCTCAACCTCTCACACTCACAACTCCTTACACATGTCCTCTTGCCAATTGTGCCATTTTTACTTTTTAGAAAAAAAAATACATGCCATATGATATTTACCTGCAAAAAGTCAAACGACTACACAAATTTGTTAGTAATTGATTAAATGCAATGAAATGCGACGACAAATCTTAGGGCAAAATTTGGGGTATTACAGTTGCCCCTATTTAAATAACTTCACCGGGTGATTCGAGCAACGGAGACTCGAGAAATCGTGGTGGAGGGATTTAAATACAGATAACCGAAAATTTTGCCTCTAGACGCAGTGCTATGCAATGATATGGACAAAACAAAACGAACTATAATGCTAAATATAATATGAATCTGATATGATGCGTATGATGAAAATGACAAATGCACGGATACAGACGAAACAACGTCACAGGGGACGACCCACCGAGGAATTGCACTAGGGAAGAAGACATGTCATATCTGGAAGAACGTCGGGTAGACACGACACAGAATTGTTGATAGGTGCCAAGTAAATTAGAAATTGTCCGCAAGGTAAGACGCGGGTAAAACACGAGCTCAGGAGAAAAACGCAAATGGGGATAAAACACCCATGATGCCAAGTAAATAAATTTTGCCCACAAGGTA